CTATGTTCAAGGACACCCTGATCTACAGAGCAAGTTCCAGGACAGCCAGGGCTACACAGAGAACCCCAGGCTCAGGAAAAACTAAACAAATAAACAAAACAAACAACAAAACAAACAAGCTGGTGTGGTTGCAGGACACCTTTAATAACTACCACTCTGGAGTAAGAGACAAGACTCTGGGACTTCAAGGCTAGCACTGTTTACAAAGCAAGACCCTGTCTCAAAACAAAACAATAAGACCATCACAAAAGCCAGAGGTTCTAGTTGTTAAAAACTAATCAAAGAAATGTGTGGACAGAAGCACAAACAAACATACATATATAAACCACAGATTCCTTACCAGACACAAGCTGGAAAGGGTTCCCACAGTTGGATATGTCTGCATGATCAGGCAAAGGCTAAGAGAGAGATTATCCATCATTATTTGGGTTCATGACACGGACATTTCTAGAGAGACTCTTACATTATTCCTATAATTCATGGACTACCAGGAGATTCCTGTGCTGTTCTCTTTCTATTCTTCCCAAAGTTGATGAGAAACAATCCATACCTTCAAACATTACAAAGCCCCTTTCACCCAAGTTTTAGTGTCCCTGTCCCTTTCCTCTTGGGCTGGGTTTTGATCCATTAGTGGGGCTTTTCCAGTACAAGCACATTTCATACAACACAGAACAAGGGTAAAATCAAAACAGCCTCTGAAGAAGCAGAAATACTAGTCTTTTACCAGACTGATGCTGAACCGTGTGCATTTCAGCTCGTCCAGAGTCTGCTTCTGTAGCTGCTCAGTGATCAGGGTTATCATGCTTTGCCCAGGATTTGACTTGTACACTCTGGAGCAAATGATGAATGTCTTTCCTGTCGTTCTTCCAGATCTCACTCGTGAGCCGTCTTCTGCCACTGCAGCACCGTTCTAGCACCATTGGGACTTCCCTCTCCAGTCATGCCTGCTGAGTCTGCCAATTACAGAAGGATCAGTCCCAAGTTAACATCAGAGGTAGACCTGGTACAGAGATGGAGAATACGGGGCACACATACCACAGCATCCCTATGCCAGGCCTCTGGCAGACATCGTTAATTGGTCATAGCACTCTCCTGATAAGCCTAAAGATAGCCTCAGAAACGCACTGAATTGGTACTCTAGATACCTAGTAAAAATAAACTGGAGATGGCAAATTGAAGCCTATTTACCATTCCTAACCTTATGCTCTGTTGTGTCTACCTAGAATATCAGCACCACTTAGAAAACAGCTCAAATAAGAGAGATACCCAAATGGTTATTTCCAAATTGAATTAGCACAATATTCTCTTTATCTTATAGCCAGAAGCCAAGAAAGGAACCTTCTCCTAAACCACAGGGGCTTAGTGCAGGGAGAAGAGCAAGGCATGGCTTTCTGCTTCAGATCAGAATAGGATTTTGAATCCTCTTATGGCCTGAATAACAGATACATCATTATTCCCCAGTAGATACTATGGGTACTCTCTTATACAAGGAGAAGGAATGACAGATATTAAAAACAACTCCATGACTTCATTCAGCCAAGTTTTTTTTTCCCCATGATCCCACTCAAACACCATGGATATAATTAACCAAGATTCTTTCTTATGACTGAAGCAAACTACTTTTTATCAAAGAGCAAGCTTCAAAATCACACACATTACTACCTGAGGGGCCTTGGCTTGCTCAGGAGGAAGATCAACAATGTCTTTTCTTCTACCTCTTCCATAAATGACCAACAGGGTACATGGAACATTAACTAGTACAGAACAATCAACCAGCAATCCTACACACCTGGGATGGCAGCACTTGGAAGGTGAAAGCAGAAACGAGCTCATCCAGGCTACAAACCCTGCTAGAAAACAAGGCGGCCACCACCACCACTCCCAAGTCTTAAGTCAACTTGCTCAGACAGTTTTGGCTAACCGTATAACATTCCTGCTAACCCATACACAAAATGGGTATAGCAATCTTATTCTATCACAGGAATAAAGCTATCTGAAATATCAAACTGTACAATACCTTACCAACTGGCCTAAAAAAACAGGAGCTCACATAGACTCTTGTTTCTTATCGCTCCTGTTCGATGCTCTGCAAAACCTTAGCATGTCTGAAGTGGTGATATCATTAAAGAAAGCAATCGGGTCTATCTCTGACTGGATGCCATCCCCCCTCACTTGTTCACCAAGGAAGAGCCTAAGGGCTTGGGCTCTTCCTCCTGTGACCTTGTGGGGAAGACCACCTCTTACAAAAAAAAAAAAAGGGGGGGGGATATCACCTCAGAGGAAGGCAACAAAGAGCAAAATACGCTAGGATGTATTTGGAGTTCTTTGGAAGAAAGGTAGAGAAGTCAATCATCACTATAGTTAACTATCATTTCCATGCATAATTATTACTACCATTCCGAACAAAGTTTCAGCTTCCTGAGAACTCCCTTCAGCTGGGAGAAGCTAAAGCTTGAATCACTTCTGCTCCTATTTTCGTAACTTTGCCCTCAAAAATCAACAAGGGAACCTAATAGGAGACTTCTACCCTAGAGATCCCAGGCTGACCAGCTATGAGAAGCAGGCAGTGAAACATTTCCAAGCTTTTCATGAGGCATCTGGACAAACAGCAAACTCCCAGCCCTGTCTAGGAGCAGCTGAAGAGAGTGATTTTCTATTTTTCTGCATTTTAATTGTTGGGATGTGGCCACACACAGCGGTAATTGGAACAATGCAACTACCACCACGCAACTGATACTCTCAGCCTGAGTTTCCTAAAACAGGCCAGGCTGAGAGGGGGAACAGAACGGAAGCCATAAGGAATCAAACCAGGACACAAAAGAAGGCAAACCAGCTCTGCAAGGGGCCTCCTCGTTCCCAAGCAGACATTAAAAAAAGTGTGAGAAGGCCTCTCTGGCGGCCTTCGTCCCCCTTCCATTTTGTGTATTTGAAGGGTAGCCAGCCCTCAACATTCACTAAACAAGTTAAAACTTCTCAGCTTAACATTGCTGGCACAAGGCTCAACCCTTCACTGAGCAGCAGGCCGCTCGGCCTCCCAGCAACCCCACCAGGCCTAACTCAACCCAGGATCCCTCCACCACAAGCCCCCTAAGATAACGTCTAAACCCCCATGCCTATTGGGTGAAAGTAACCCCTGGCAGTTGTTTCAGGGATACTGAAGCTGTGTTGAAACCTGAACAACCTAGGATTTAGTCAGGCCAGAGGAAAAGAAAGTCATAAATTCCCTGGGGGGCATTCCCCCCAGGTCCCAGTCCCAAATCTCTGGAAGAAACTGAAGGAAAACATAAGCGAGGCAGGGAGGTGCAGGAAATGATAAGTGGGTATCAGACTGCTCTTCTTCCATATGGTTCTGGTGAAGATAGGGGTGACAAGTGGGGTGCACCCATCCCCCCCCGACGAAAAAGCAAACGGCTAGGCTCCCTCTAATCTTCAACCTCTCCCTCTGTTGCCCTGCCTGTCCCCGCGGGGTGGGGCATGGGGCATCTACTGGCCCCCCGGGGGGGCACTCCAGGGTCTGCTCAGGGGGACTGTCGATCTCCTCTTTCCATTCGGGTTCCCCATCTGACCGCGGGAAGCGAACTCAGGACGCAGAGGATGGGGAGGGAGGGTCTGGGACATGCACTCTGCCACCCCCTCCCCCACCGGGTCCCGTGTTCACCCACCGAGGCGGCCTGCGAGGCTCGGCCGCACTAGCGGCTGGCCTGGGGGAGGGGAGGGGAGGGAGGGAGGGACGGTCGCGGTGCCCGCCCCGAGGCCCCAGCACCACCTGCCCTCCGCTACCTACCGCGGCTCCTCCAGTTCCCAGGGCCGCGGCCGGAGCAGCTCTGAGCGCTCCGTTCGCCCCACGGTGCCCTTAAAAGGCGCTGGCACGAACCAACGGGCCCTTGAGGAGAGTGGGGGGATCGCTCCTGTTTGCAGAATCCCCCGGAACCGCCCGAAGACGCCCGAGCCCCGTGTGGTTTCTCCCCCAATCCTTTCCGGAATAGTGCCGTCGGAAAGGAGCCTAGAGCTGTGATTTGGGGACGGGACTGTTTACTCACTAACGGATCACCCCCTCAAAAATATCACAGAAAGTGGACGGGCCCAGTTGGAAGCATATCCTGAAGCCCGTAGGGGAAGCCATGTCGGATAAAGGTAAACAAAGCCATTGTCCATTCCTTCCATTGCTCCATCTTCCCAACTGAACAGTCTCAATTAACTCAGACCCCGAAACAGTATTAGCCACAGCCTTCTCACCTTGTCCCTCTCCCGAAACAGCCACCTTTCAGTGAGCATGCCCCTCCACTTCCCCCCGGCAAAGGATCCATCCTCAGTGTGAAGGCTGCTGGGAAATGTAGTCCAAGCGCCGATCAGGGCCTGCTCTGAGTCCCTGGAGCCCCTCTTCTACCTGTGAGATCTACTGGAACCTTTATAATCCTGGGACTTATAACGGTTGTGGAGCCGTGTCCTCTTGTTCTGTAATTTGTCCTCAACCAAAATACTTTGTAAAGCTGAGACGGGCCCGAGGTTGTTCACTCCCTCCCTTCCCTATCTGCCTCCCCCTCCCCCCCAGCAGGATGAGGTAATGGGATTGTGATTATGACATCATAGGTAGTTCAGTTGCGGGGTGTGCGTGTGGGGCGGAGGGAGCACGGTGGTTATGGCTGGACCACTTAAGACAGAGAGAGAGAGAGAGGGAGGAAGCTGGCATATGAGGAACCGATGTCGACAGTTCTATATTTCCTCTTCAAGAACTGGAAACCACCTTTTTATTAAGTCTCCACCACCACCACCATCTCTCACCTCAGGCAAAGTTTAAAGTCCTTTTTCAAGAACTCATTGTTGATGTAAGTAAGGGGAAAAAAAACATAAAGGTTCCTGGCTCTTCTGTAATGTGGAGTCTCAGCTGACAAAAAAGTTTTCAATAAATTCTCTCATGCTGTGACCACCAGTAGGACAGAGCTTTAGATTTCCTTTTTAATTTGTTAGAGAGTGGCAATTCCAGTCACTTCGCCATTACAGTAATAGCAGCGAGTCCCTGAAAAGCATGTTTTCTTTAAATATTTTGCACCCTGCTTGTCTGTGATAGGTAGACAGCAGCAGACCTAGTGGTGGAGAGCTTCCTCTTTGAGCTGGGGAGGGGAGGAAACAGGACCCTTCAAGTATGCAAACTGAAAAAGAATGAAAACAAGAATGAAGTATTAACTAAAGTGTGCAGGTAGGAGGTCACATCTAAAATCCCAGCACTTGGGAGGAAGAGGCAAGCCTGGTCAACATTTCAAGTACAGAGGCCAACCAAGGGTTACATAGTGAAACCTAAAAAATAGGCAGGAGAGGATGGAGATTTACTCTGCATTGTACATTGACAGTACAGGAGGCAAGATTTCCAGCGGTTGCACAGTGCTACATACTTTATTTACTGGTTTTTGACACAGAGCCTCATGTGGCTCCTGCTGACCTCAAAGTTACTATGTCGCTAAGAATGTGCTTGAATTCTTTTCTTCCTGCCTCAGTCTCCTAGATGCTAGGATTACAGACGTGAACCACCATGTCTAGTTGCACTATATCCTTTTTTGTTTTGGTTTTGGGTTTTTTGAGACACGGTCTCTGTGTGTAGCCGTGGCTGTTGTGGAACTGGGTCTGTAGACCAGGCTGGCCTCAAACTCACAATCAATCCACCTGCCTCTGTCTCCCACGTACTGGGGTTAAAGGTGTGCACCACCACTGCCTAGCTTGCATTATATACTTTAAGTAAATACATTATCTTTTTCCTTTCAGTCACCAACTGAAAAAAATGAACAACAAAACCACCTGAAAGGTTAAATGATTGCCCAAGTAGTAGATAAAGATCATATCAAAATCTGAGACTCTAAAATCTTGTTTGTTTCTTTTGTTTGTTTGTTTGTGTGTTTGCTTTGTCTTTTGTTTTGAAGCAGGGCCTCACTGTGAACATCTGGCTATACTGGAACTTACTATATAGACCAGGCTAGCCTACAGTTCACTGAGATCCTCCTGCCTCTGCCTCACCAATGCTGAGACTATGGACATGGACCACTACACCCACTACCACGCTTACTAAAGTTAAATGGTTTTGTGAAAGTTAAGTTAGCATTGGCTTACTTGCAAAACTTTGAAAGAAACTGATTCAGACTTTGTGACTCAAACTTGTAATCCCAACCCTGGAGAGAAGCAGGAGCATTGCCATAAACTCAGGGCCGACCTCAGTTACAGAGTGAATTCCAGGCCAACCTGAACTACAGAGTAAGATGCTCTCTCACCTCCCTACCACCACCAAGTAAATAAAATAAGATGAAAAGGAGACAAAAATAAAATAATCCGAATGACAAGGGTACAATATAACTCAATACTGCAAGACAAAAGAAAACTGCAAAACAAAATTTTAAAACTCTGCATAAGAACGAAAAGAAGTGCACATGTGGGGCGTTGGTGGGGCACGCCTTTAATCCCAGCACTCCGGAGACAGAGGCAGGTGGCTCTCTGAGTTCGAGGCCAGCCTGGTTTACAGAGCTAGTTCCAGGACAGGCTCCAAAGCAAAACAGAGAAACCCTGTCTCAAAAAACACCAAAAGAAAGAAAAGAAAGGCACACCACGTTTCATAGTGTGACCTAAAATGAGCTTCCCTGCAGAGCTCAACACTGCCCATGATTACGTTTCTTCCGATTTTCAAGGGTGTTCTAATTGCCTTTGTTTGTTTGTTTGTTTGTTTGCAGATCTTGTTTTTGTTAGGCAAAACAATATATATAATGTAGCTGAGGCTGGCTTTAAACTCCTGATCCTACTGTTAATTTCTTAATAAAGAACTGTTAATGTTTGACATAAATCATGCTTTAAATGACAGAAATAAACAACCGATCCTTTGCTTTGACTTTGCTAGGGCTGGGATTACAGGGGTTAGTGGCACTCCTAACTTCCTTTCTTGTTTGTGGGGAGAGAGCAAACTCAGGGCCCTGTGTGTAAGGCAAACACTCTACTCCAGCCTCCACCTCTTTTGGACTCTACCTTGTGTGCTCATGGGTCAGACCCCATCTATTTCCCTGTTCCAAAGGGTTTTGGCAGAGGACATACCTGGGCCTCTTTCTGGCTTTTGTCCCAATTCTCTAAGGATTCCAGGGCCTGGGGCCAGTCATCCAGATCATCCAAAGGAGTAGAATCCACTGGCCTTAGGAAGTTCTTAGCTGCCTTCCTAGAGATATAGCAGAGTGAGAGAATGTGCACTCATGCAGATACACCCCCCACCCCCTCCCAACACACACACTTCTGTCCAATAAAACCTAAGTCTTTGCAAAGTGGAGAAAGTCAACCTAAAACACTCATAGCCAAATTAGTGAACACACCCCTCAGCCTCCCTCTCATGCAGAGACTGGCTTGGGGGATCCCAGGTATGCAGGGCTCTTCTCCATTGCCTGATCTGGGCATCCCAGGATCTGCGGCTGTACCTCCTGTTTTTGTTTGGTGTTTGAGGGTGAAACCCAGGCTGTCGCTGTGCCCTGGCAACAACAAATATGGATCTGAGTGAGGTCAAAGGAAAGGGATACTTCTCATTGCTTATCACAGAGATTCAGAGGCCCAGACAGGGATTACCCAAGGACAGGATAATACTCCTATCCAGCAAATTCAGTGAGGCCAAGCCTGGTGGCACATATGTAGAATCCTGAAATCTCAGCACTGAGAGGTGGAGGATGGAGGATCAGAAGTTCAAGGTCATTCTTGACTACATAGTGAGTTTGAGGCCAGCCTAGGCTACATGTGTCTAAGAGAGGAAGGGAGGGAGGGGGCCAAAGAATGATGCTCACTTCAGTAAGCACATATACTAAAATTAGAATTATACAGAAGTTTAAATTGGTCCCTGATTAAGGATGATATCCAGCTTTTTGCGTTTGATGCGTTTCATTGTGTGTATGTGTGTATGTGTGTGTGTGTGTGTGATGAAAATAGGAAGGCACCTACAGAGGAAGAGGTAAGAGGTATAAGGGGAGCTGAGAGGAGAAACTATTGGAATATATGTGACATAAAAACAGAAGAAGTGGCTGGAGAGATTGTGCAGCTGAGTTTGAGTCCCAGCACCCATGTGGCAGCTCACAACTGTCTGTAGCTCCAATTCCAGGGGGTCTGATGTCCTCTTCTGGCTTCCACAGGCATGTACATGGTGCAGGGAAAGGACCCATACACATCACAAAAAATTTAAAAAGTTAAAGGAACAAAGAATTATGAAATGCACTCATATAATGAAAACATCACAGGGAAACCCACTCCTTTGTACACTAACAAAGAAAATTAATAAAAAACATGGGGGCCAACAAGAGAGCTCAGTATGTAAAAACGCTTGCTGGGTGATGACCAAGTGAGATTTCCCAGGAGAGTCTGTACCGCAGGCAAAGAACCAAGTTTTGAAAGTTATCCTCTGACTTTGACAGGCACATTTGTACTCACACATTCAGTGATTAAAAACAACAAAACAAAGACATTAGAAAACAAGAAACATGGACATGCTTTGAAAGTCTGGGCTAAGACCTTTTCTACTTGAGAGAAATCTGAAACTTATTTTTGGGGCCTAGATTTCAGGAGAATTAGTCCTTCACCTTTGCTAGAGCACTCTGTTTCCAGCTCTCTTTCCATCACTTGACAAAGAACTACAGCCATTTGGTTGGCATTCTTGTGACTACCCACAGCTGCACTCACTTGGGGACCTGCTGCAGAAAGCACTGGTAACCAGGTGTGCACTTGCCATAATCGATCTGCTTCTGCCGCCGTTGCAGGACAACTTCATCTGTCTCGACTTCCCACCTGCAGGGAAGTAGATGGTGCCTCAAAGAGTATGATTATAGCCATCAAAGCAAAAATCAACACATCTCACAGTCCCTTAAATCCCAGCCTGATTTTCCAACTTACCTGGTATGACAAGGCTCTGTGATGACTCCCACACTTACCATCTCTGTTCTAGAGGACAAAGACTCTTCACACACACCCTTTCTGGGGAAGCAGTTTCTGCAGATAAAAAGGATATTAATATAGAAACAGGATGGATATCCTGCACCTTTCAGCCACTGTCACCACAAAGATCCTCCTAGCAGAGATAAAGGTTGTGGGTTTGTTTTTGAGACAGGGTACTTCCCATAGCCCTGCTGGGTGGTTTGAAACTAACTAGCATCCAAACTGTGAGAATTTTCCTACTTTGACTTCCAAAGCTCTGAGATTGCAGGAGTGAAACAAATCCAGCTTTTATTTGGGGTGGGAGGGGGGTAGAGATGGGGTTTCTCTGTATAACAGAGTCCTAGCTGTCTTGAAACTTCCTCTTCCTCCCTAGTGCTGGAATTAAAGGTATACACCACTATGACTTTTTCCCCCTTTTCATATGTGTGGTGTGTGCCTATGCATGTTCACATGTGTGGGTGCATATGTGTACTTGTGCTTTAGATCAGAGACTGAAGGCAGGAGTCTTCACCTTGTATATAGAAGTAGGTAGGATCTTTCACTTGAACCCAGAGCTCACAGATTTGGCTAGTCTAACTAGCCTCTGCCTCCTGAAGGCTAAGATAACAGGCAGATCGTCATGCTACCCAGCATTTATGTTCTAGGAATCCAAATCTGGTCCTTATGCTTGCTCTGCAAGTGCTTTATCCACCTAGCTATTTGTCTGGTCCTCAAGACCAGCTTTAAAGGTTATTTTTCTGACTTTTCTCAAAAGTAGTCTGCAAACCATTAGCATGAGTAGCACCTGGCAGCCTTGATCATTCCTGGGCCATACTCTATATCTATTGGTCTGCATTTAAAATAGTTCCTAAAGTTTTATAGTAAAACATTTCCTGTCAGGCAGTTGTGGTGCACATCTTTAATTCCAGCTCTTGGGAGGCAGAGGCAGACCTCTGTGAGTTCAAGGCCAGCATAATGTACAGAGTGAGTGCCAGGACAAGGCTCCAAAGCTACACTGAGAAACCATCTCGAATCTCCTCCCTCAGCCTCTCAAGGACTTAGACTGCAGGCTCTCACCACCAGGTTCCCCAAGTTTTCTTTGATAATGGGCTTCATTATGTAGCAAACATGGGTAATTCTCCTTCCTTAGCCTCTGCAGAGCTGAGATTACAGGTGGGCATTGCCATACCCAGCTTAAATTTTTTTTAATTATGAAAAATTTCAAGATAGGTGTGGTGACACATGCCTGTAATCCCAGAATTTAGGTGGTTAGGGCAGAAGAATCATGAGTTTGAGGCCAACCAGAACTATGTACCAACACCCTTCTTTAGCTAGCCAGTAAACAAAAAACAAAAAACAAAAAACAAAAAAAAAAGAAAAGAAAGAAAAAAGAAATGAAAAGAAAAATGGGCTGGAGAGATGGACCAACAGTTAAGAGCACTGGCTACTTTTCCAGAGGACTTGGGTTCAATTCCCAGCACCCACATGGCAGTGGATCTGATACCTTCACACAGACTTACATGCAGGCAAAACATGAATGTACATGAAATAAAAATAAACTATAAAAGAAAAAAATTCAAATCTATTCTGAAGCAGAGTACAGGAAACTGGATTATTATACATGCCTGCAATACCAGAATTCAAGTGGTTGAGGCAGAGGGATTCAAGCTTGAAGACAGGTTTAGAATAAATAACACACAAAAAGTATAGCATAATGCTTTGCTACTCAAGAGTATGGTCCTGGGGCCAGAGGCAGCATCATCAACTGAGAATTTATTATAAATGTAGAAATTTTGATCTCATACCTACTGAATCAGAATCCAGCTTCTCAGGATCTCCAGGTGATATTATGTACATTAATCAAATGTCCCACCCAGACATCTTCCCCATACCCAAGCCAATTATCTCATCTATACGCACACCCATTCACAAAAGATTTGAAGGAAGAAAAAAAAAAAAAAAAAAAAAAACAACCTAAGAGTGTCTTGGGTTCAGGGGCTGGAGAGAGATGTGGTTAAGAGTACATATGGCTCTTGCAGAAAAAATGAGTTTGGTTCCCAGCACCCATGTTGAACACCTCACAACTGCCAATAACTCCAGCAGTGAGGGGTTGCCTCTGACCTTCCATCTTGCACAAATCCACACACACATATACATATGCACATAATTAAAAATAGATCTAAAAATAATTTCTTGGACTGGGGAGTTATCAGCTAAATGACAGTAGTTGTCAAGTGTTCCCAAGGCTCTGGGTTCCATTCCTATTACCACTACTATAATCATCCTCCTCTTGCCCCCTTCCTCCCCCCAGCAGGGTCTCACTCTAGCCTGAGGTGATCTGGAGCTCACTCTGTCCTCAAACTCAATCCCAATGCACGCACTCAAGCGCTGGGATTACAGGCATGAAACCACACCTCTCCCTACATATAAGTGTAATCTTGTCAATGTTCAAAGCTACATAAATAGCCAAAATTTAAGATCCTTTAGAATGTAGTAAGGATTATGTCAAAACGTTCAGTTCTACTCTCCCTGAAAAGAAAATTTCTACCCAGAAAACCTCTTGGAAGGGGACAGGGGCGGTTCCGCATCAACACAACCTGTCATGCCCCAACAACTGCCACACCGACGGCAAATGCTCCATTTCCAGCCGAAAGCTAACAAAACTCAAGAGATACGACGCTAGAAAGAAGCAAGGAGGAGGAAACCCTTCTGCTCGGAAACAGTTCCTCCAGACCATCGTTAGCGGGACTCGATTTAAATCTCCCGGGGTTGCTGGGGCAGAGGGACTTGAGTACTTGGAGGGTGTGGCGATTGGCCAGAGGGAGAGCCAATGTGCATCAGGCTCTCTGTGGCGGAGATGCCTTGCCGACGACGTACGACCCTAGCGATTGGTCAGGGGGTGGCACACTGATTGGCTGATGCTACAGGCAGGAGGGCGGTGATAGGTTGTGGAGAGAGCGGAAGGTTTGAATGGTCAGGCCTATGGCTGTTGGTCTTTCCCTCCTGCCAATTCCGGAGAGAAGCCCCAAATCTGGACCCCTGTTACGTAGATGCCATTTTAACTGGAAGAACTGCTTCTGTTCCTCAGACCCCTTCTCATTCGGTGAAGTCTTCGCTTCCGTCCAGTTCTGCAGGAGTTTCTCTAAATTCAAGCCTGCCTCTAAACTGAAGGTAAGCCGAGAGCTGTGTCCGTTCGGGAATCTCGGACACCCGATTGTCCCTGCAGGGTTCTTTCGGGGACCGGAGGTCCGAATAGCCTTATCGCGTTAGTTAGATCCATTTCTTCTGGTCAAGAGTGTGAACCTGGATGATCCGGATCAAGCCCATCTTCTCTCGGTTCTTCCTGTGAAGGCCCGAGCTTACCAGACGTTTGTAAGTTTTTGCCGTGAGCAGTGTGACTTTCCAGCGGGTACTTGATCCTTTGGGGGAGTGCTCCTCCACCCAGGCTTAGGCAGGCACTGGGAAGGGCGGAGAGGTTGGGAAAGTTGAACATCTGAGTGTTCTTCTCCTAGAGAGCCACCCCCCTTCCTTGGTGAAGCCTCCGAAGTCATGTCTACAGGACCCTTTCCATCTGCAAGAAAAGAGAGAAGTTCTGTCTCAACACCCAGTTTTAGGTGCAATCAAAGGAAGATGTTAAACCTACTTTTGGAAAGAAACAATTCGTTTACCCCAGTTTTCCCCAGATCTCCGGGAGACAAACTCCTTGACTCGACAAACCTAAGCATTTTGTCCGGGTAAATTTATTTTCTAAAAGATTTATTTTTTAAATGGTGTGTAGGAGAGTGTGTGCTGAATGTGGTTAGAGTATTGTACCTGCCTGAAGTTACAGGTGGTTACTGTGCCTAATTGCAGTCTTCTGGAATAACAGCAAACTCTTAACCATTGAACCATCACTCCAGCCCATAAATTAATTTTTAGTTTTACATCTTATCTTTACTTTATGAACAGGTGTGTTTGCTGGATTATCCTGTTTCAAAGTTCAGGGTTTGAGTTTCAGCCATTACCTTGAACGTGTGTCTCTTTTGAGTCTCGGGCTTCCTTTCCATTTAGAAAAATGTCTTTTTCTAAAAGGGACTTGGTGGAGGACTTTCTGGAGGCTGAGGCAGGATGGCCACAGGTTCAAGGCCAGCCTGGGCTACTATTGAATTTTAGGACAACTAGTGGGCTATAGAATGGAGCCCTATTGCAAAGTAACAAATAAGAAGAAAAATAATTTTTTCTTTTCAAATATTTATTTATTTATTTATTATGTATACAGAGTTCTGACTGCATGTGTGACTACAGGCCAGAAGAGGGCACCAGATCTCATTACAGATGGCTGTGAGCCACCATGCAGTTGCTGGGAATTGAACTCAGGATCTCTGGAAGAAAAGCCAGTGCTGTTAACCTCTGATCCTTCTCTCTAGCCCAAAAAGCCACTTTCTATCTTAATAGGAATAATCTTTTCCTGTCATGTCGGAATCAATGTGCTGTCTAGGAAGAACTCTGGAAATTCTACTATTATGTGTTATAGGAGTTGGTTACTTTAATTGTATCAATTTTAGTGTTGTACTTTAGAGCCTGGTCATATTGTCTTTACACCTCATTAGCAAACAGGATTTGGGGAATACTAGAGATTCCAGAGAGAAATTGAATTTGTGTTCAGGGTGAACAGGGTAGAGAATGTGAATGTCAAGATCCTATTCACTGTGCAGGTGAGATGGCTCAGCATAGAAAGGCACCTGTCACCAAGCATGATGACCTGAGTTAGATCCCCTCTCTCCTGGAGTGGTCTTCACACACAAGTATGTGCTCATACAAAAAATGTAGTAAATATTTTAAAAAAAAAATCTCTTTAGATTCTCATTAAATAAATAACCATCTCAATATGTTGTCGAGAAGAAAATGAGGCTCACATTATTGTTTTTGGTTTCATTTGTTTTTTTTTTTTTTTTTTTTTTTTTTTGTTTGCTTGTTTTGTTTTATCTTGTTCAACACAGGGTTTCTTTGTGTAACAATCCTAGCTTTCCTGGAACTCACTCTATAGACCAGGCTGGCCTTGAACTCACAGAGATCCACCTGCTTCTGCCTCCCTTGTGCTGGGATTAAAGGTGTTCCTCACTACCACCTGGCTACATTACTGTAATAGAGAAAAAGTGAGGGATTGTTTTCTCAACCCAGTCTGAGCTATTTCCAAATAGCAGCTAGATTGGTTTAGATACTGTTTAGATTTTTGTGGTAGTAATTGAAAAAGATTTCAAATAAAGACATTATCTCTACCTTGTTTAGGATAGTATACCCTAATGGGAATCTTGATTTATTATGTCTCAACAGAGGAACCCCAAAACGTTGCCTTGATCTTTCAAATGTTAGCAATGGAGAGATGTCTGCTTCTCAGCTTAACACTTCTGCTGACTTTGATGAAACTGGTAGAGGTATAGTCTTTAATGAGAAAACTAACTTTAAGATTCTTATTAAACTTTTATGTGTATAAATGTTTTTGCATACATATATGTATGTGTATCACATGGATGCCTGGTGCCCTCAGAGGCCAGAAGAATAGTTGAGAGCTGGATCTCCTGGAACTGGGGTTACTACTGACTTATGAGTTACCGTATGGATGCTAGGAAATGAACCTGGGTCCTTAGAAAGAATAGCAAGTACACTTAACTGCTAACCATCTCTTGGGCTGAAGAGATGACTCACCTTTAAAGGCTACAGGCTTACAACTGTAAGGAAGGAGGAGAGGGCAAGGTAATGGGATAGAAATTGAGGATGGTAAAAATAGGTAAAAAACCAGATGTATTAGCTTATGTAAACCCAGCACTTGGAAGGCTGAGGACAGCCAGTGCTACTCATACCAAAATCCTGAGAGAGAACATTTGCCTAAAATTAGGAATTTTGAGGTTAGATAATTTTTTAGTTGAATGATAAGTGGAAAGAGAAAATATCAGTAATAGAAGTTCCTATGCAGCTGGATGGTGGTGGTGCCTGGTCTACAGAGTGAGTTCCAGGACAGCCAGGGCTACACAGAGAAATGCTGTCTCAAAAAAAAAAAAAAAAACTTTAAAAATAATTGTTATGCATTAGAAAAAGTTCTTCACGAGGAGTATATTTTGCTGACTGATTGGTTAATGGTGGAGATGAAAGTACAGTAAATACTTTTTTTTTTTTTTGGTATCCCAAAGAAATTATTGTAAAGAAATACTTTGTTCTACATGACCCTTCATTTATTCCTCAGTACCCTCCAAACACAAAAGAAAAGCTTTGTCATCTAGTTGGGCTCTGTGTGTGTGTCTGTGTGTCTGTGTGTGTGTGTTTCTGGATCTAAAAAAAAGTTTTGCTAGTAGACCATTTCTAGTATTTGCTTTAAGTTCAGATTTCTCAAGTAGCCACTTCCTTTTCTGCTTGTTTTCTTGGGGAGGGGAGAAGGTATAAGCTCGAGACAGTTTCACGTAGCCCAGGTTGCCCTCAAACTCACTTTGTAGCCTTTGAACTTGTGATCTGCCTGATTTTACCTCCTGAGTGCTGGAATTACAGGCACATTTGTGTTTATTCACTCTTAAGTGCATGGTGTTTTGTCTGCACGTATAGTGAATGTGTAGATGCCTTGAAACTGGAGTGGAGAATGTTGTGGCGCACGATGTGGATTCTGGGAGCCAAATTGAAAAAGATTTCAAATAAAGACATTATCTCTACCTTGTTTAGGATAGTATACCCTAATGGGAATCTTGATTTATTATGTCTCAACAGAGGAACCCCAAAACGTTGCCTTGATCTTTCAAATGTTAGCAATGGAGAGATGTCTGCTTCTCAGCTTAACACTTCTGCTGACTTTGATGAAACTGGTAGAGGTATAGTCTTTAATGAGAAAACTAACTTTAAGATTCTTATTAAACTTTTATGTGTATAAATGTTTTTGCATACATATATGTATGTGTATCACATGGATGCCTGGTGCCCTCAGAGGCCAGAAGAATAGTTGAGAGCTGGATCTCCTGGAACTGGGGTTACTACTGACTTATGAGTTACCGTATGGATGCTAGGAAATGAACCTGGGTCCTTAGAAAGAATAGCAAGTACACTTAACTGCTAACCATCTCTTGGGCTGAAGAGATGACTCACCTTTAAAGGCTACAGGCTTACAACTGTAAGGAAGGAGGAGAGGGCAAGGTAATGGGATAGAAATTGAGGATGGTAAAAATAGGTAAAAAACCAGATGTATTAGCTTATGTAAACCCAGCACTTGGAAGGCTGAGGACAGCCAGTGCTACTCATACCAAAATCCTGAGAGAGAACATTTGCCTAAAATTAGGAATTTTGAGGTTAGATAATTTTTTAGTTGAATGATAAGTGGAAAGAGAAAATATCAGTAATAGAAGTTCCTATGCAGCTGGATGGTGGTGGTGCCTGGTCTACAGAGTGAGTTCCAGGACAGCCAGGGCTACACAGAGAAATGCTGTCTCAAAAAAAAAAAAAAAACTTTAAAAATAATTGTTATGCATTAGAAAAAGTTCTTCACGAGGAGTATATTTTGCTGACTGATTGGTTAATGGTGGAGATGAAAGTACAGTAAATACTTTTTTTTTTTTTGGTATCCCAAAGAAATTATTGTAAAGAAATACTTTGTTCTACATGACCCTTCATTTATTCCTCAGTACCCTCCAAACACAAAAGAAAAGCTTTGTCATCTAGTTGGGCTCTGTGTGTGTGTCTGTGTGTCTGTGTGTGTGTGTTTCTGGATCTAAAAAAAAGTTTTGCTAGTAGACCATTTCTAGTATTTGCTTTAAGTTCAGATTTCTCAAGTAGCCACTTCCTTTTCTGCTTGTTTTCTTGGGGAGGGGAGAAGGTATAAGCTCGAGACAGTTTCACGTAGCCCAGGTTGCCCTCAAACTCACTTTGTAGCCTTTGAACTTGTGATCTGCCTGATTTTACCTCCTGAGTGCTGGAATTACAGGCACATTTGTGTTTATTCACTCTTAAGTGCATGGTGTTTTGTCTGCACGTATAGTGAATGTGTAGATGCCTTGAAACTGGAGTGGAGAATGTTGTGGCGCACGATGTGGATTCTGGGAGCCAAACCAGGATCCTCTGCAAGGACAGCAGGTGCTCTTAACCCCTGAGCCTTCTTTACAGCCCAGTTAATGTTTTGTTATTTATTATTAGTGTGTGTGTGTGTGTGGTGGTGGTGGGTTAACACACTATGGGAGAGCTGATGTGTGCCCACCATGTTTTTATACAATGTGAGGACTGAACCTAGGACTTTGTGCATGCTAGGCAAGCACTCTTCCAAGTCAGCTGCATGCCCAGCCCATTGTTCTTCATAACTCACTGCAGGTTCCTTGGATTCCTCAGGACCTCAGGATGTACAGTTAACTGAGAAGTAAGTTCTGCTGTTAAATGGTCTGTATGCCCCAGCCTTCCCTCACCAACCACAGGGTGTCCAATGTGGACTCAAGTGTGAAACACTACTTAGGATATTAGTGGGCTTGGAGGCCTGGAGTCTCACTTGACAGCTTTTAAGTTTTCTAGTTCTAAATAGCATTGTGAAATGCAGGCTATTTTAAACCAGCATACACAGAAATGTCTTGTTTTTACGTGAAGGGAAGTGGTTACTGCACTCATACCAGGGCTTCTTTTTGCACATGAGAGGTGCTGTATTCTAGTGGCTCAGGATGCAGGTTCAGGGATAAGATTATATAGATTCTAGTGGTTTACTATTTCACCAGCTATGACCTACAGTTTCTTAATTCATTAGATCAAACTTTCTTTATTCATAATAGGAGATAACAGTAGCACTCTATAAACAGCTATTGAAAAGATTAAATAAAAATAAGAAGGCTAAGCCACTAGAGCCACTGTCTCAAACAAAACAAAAAGAAACACCACCCAAACAAACAATAAAAATAACACTAATCAGAGCCAGGTAATATGGTTTATATTTGTAATTCCAGGACTCAAGCCATCAAGGCAAGATAATTGTGAGTTCAAGGCCAGTCTGGGCTGTGTGAGACACTATCTTAACACCATCTCCCATCTCTAACCCCCTCCCCCAAAAGAAAAAGAATAAAACAAGGCAAAACATTTATCTAGCAAATACCAAGCATTTTATGTTTGTTGTTATAACTATGATAAACTATCTCTTAGATATCCTAAAATATTTAGCCAGGTGTATAAATGGAATAAAAGCTGATTTCAATTCAACTCTTTCAAAACTTATTCTAGATGGTGGTGATACATACCTTTAATCCCAATACGCATGGGAGACAGAGGCAGATGAATCTCTGTGCGTTCAAGGCCAGCCTGGTTTACAGAGTAGGTTCCAGGACAGCCAGGACTATTACACAAAGAAACCCTGTTTTGAAAAAAACAAATTGACTGCTTTAATCTTTTTAGTTTATCCTTAGATATTGTGTAAGGTATAGATGCTACTATTGCACTAGGAAACAATTCTATGGCGGTTTTTAGGAATATATGTGAAAATTTCACTTGCATTGTTCATGTTATCTCTGAGCCATTTTTTTTTTTTTCTTTCTTTCTTCCTCCTTTCTTTCTTTCTTTTTTTTTTTTTTTTTTTCTTCATCAAGACAGGGTTTCTTTATGTAGCCCTGGCTTGTCCTGTTACTCTGTAGATGAGACTCCAGGGTGCTAGATTAAAGGCTTGTGACACCACCACCTGGATTGATTTTTCTCTTGTGTACTTTTTTCTTGGTGGCAGGGTCTCATTATAATCCAATATGACCTTGAACTCATAGTGATCCTCCTACTTCAGCCTCTTGAATGCTGGCTGTATAGTGGTAGACCTCAGGCCTGGCTTTGGGTTACTATAAATAGCCTGTGCTGTATATACTAGGTGGAAATGTGGGAGGAAAGGTAGAAATTCATTTATTAAAAGGAGCTTCCTGTCATCAGTGTTAGAACATTATTACCAAGTCATAGATTGTTCCTATGTAAGATGTGAGAGAGGAGTGGCAGGTGTTGTCTACTGGCTGAATGCTTGCCTAGCTTGTACAAGGCCCTAGGGTTCCATCCTTATCATCAGAACAAGAATACGAGATATAAGGCAAACTCCGTCTGGTGCCTGTTTATCCTGTTTGGTTATGCTGGTGAATTTAATACACTGTTGGAAGACACAAATCAACAAAAGCTAGTGCTCTTTGAGTAGAAGAAGGGAAGAACTGGAGTGCCCCTAAGCACTGAAGAACCAACCAAGCTGTGTCTGGGGATTTCCTGACTAGTGGCTTGTCTTTCTTTTAATCTTCAGGAATCATCAGGACCCTATGAAAGGCATACCAGTAGGTAGACCGAACTACCCACCTGCCTCCCTTCCTTCTCTTTAATAGAGGGTCTCACTATGTTTGGCTAGCTGGGCTAAGACTTGAGGCATGTGTCATCAGGCCCAGTCTAGACTCTCCCTTTGGTTTGTTTGACTGTCGTTTGTTTGACTGGGTTTGTTTCTCGGGTGGGAGACAGGGTTCCCAGCTGGTGATATGGCTAATGGATATTGGATGCCTTCAGCAGACAATGTCTTTTAGGTGCAGCTTCTCTGTAGTACTCCAAATGCTTTGGACCATGGCCACAGAAAGAAAGATGCAGTACATGGCTTATCTGCAAATAAAGAAAATGTAAGTATTTGATGGAAACCTAAATATATTAATTTTATTTCTTTAAGTGAACAATTGCTTGATGTCTTGAAACCTACAGCTGTTTATATTCCAGTATGCTAGCCAAGCACATTCCATTATTGTAACAAAAAAAAAAAAAAAACAAAAAAAAAAAAACAAACTACTTTTTTACCTAAGGTTTAACCTTGGGACAAAAACCTAGTTCAAAGATGGGTGTTGGTGGTGCATGCCTTTAATTCCAGCACTTGGGAGGCAGAGTTTGGAGCCAGCCTGGTCTATTGAGCGAGTTCCAGGACAGGTCAAGCTCCAAAGCAATACAGAGAAACCCTGTCTCAAAAAAACAAAACAAACAACAAACCCTAGTTCTATAGTAAGTTACCAGTTTTGTTCAGTTGATCAGTTTAAGTATACAAATTGCTGTTACCATCATGTAAATAATTGTTTAGAAATCATGTTGTGTTTGTAAGTGTAGGCACTATGTGCACACGTAGTATACACATTCACACAGACACACCTTCCCAAGCAAACTTTCTTTCATCTATCCTTTTGCTTATGATGATAAAATTTGTATCCTCCAAAGCAAATCCATGTGTCAGACATAGATCCAAAGCATTATATATCTTCAGATACACATTTAATGATTATGTGTATGTGTTTCATGAGAGTTACTCATGATTTGGTCAGATGTGATACTATTGGCAGGCATTATTACTATTTCTTGTCCTCCAGCCAATGCCGTTTTTTTCTTATGCAGATAAACACCAATCTAAAGACATTGGAGTGGGAGGCACCTAGGACCTTGAGGTTTCAAAGCATTCCTGGAGATCCTCTGGCTTCTCCCCTTTCTTTGCTGGTGAGTTATTGAACGTAATCAAGTGACGACAGGCGTATCATGGGCTACAGAGTAAGCTGTAGATTTTTGGCATGTTGACTTTTCCTAAACTGGCTTGGGTGAGACGCTGAATCCTAGCAGGCTGAGGAGGAGCTATGTGCCCTCTGATCTTTCTAGTTTTAACTGTGGAGTGAGAATTTTTCTTAGGTCTTTGGTTCCTTCTTCCTTTCTTTTTGGGGTTTTGAGACAAGATCTCACTGTGTAGTTCAAGCTAGCCTGGAGGTCACTGGGGAGTCCAGGCTGTGTCCTCAAACCCACAACAATCCTGCTATCTCAGTCTAGATGCTAGGATAACAACCTGCACCAGGATGCACATGGCTAGTTTCTTTATTCTCTGTTGAAGTGAGGTTTCGCTGGGCTGCTCAGGCCTGCCTTGAATGCCTGTACTCAGTGTATTCCTCCCTGGCCTCTAGAGCCCTGATGTTGTAGGTTTCTGCCACTACAGGTCACTTCATCTGAGAGTTGTACACTTTTTTTTATTTTATTTTATTTTAATTATTTATTTTTTTCTTTTACATGTCGATCCCAGTTCCCTCTCTTTCCCTCCCTCCCTCCCTCCTTCTTACCTTCTCTGCCCCCTCACATGCACCCTGACCACCCTCCCCTCCCATCCCTCACCCCAATTCCACATGTAGGGCTATGCCATCCAGGTGGGGTCGTGTAGATCTGTCAGGTCATTTGAATTAGGGACTTGGACTTCTCTCCTGTCTGAGAGTTGTACACTTTTAATTCTTACATTTATTGTTAGAATATTTTGAGTCAGTCTTTGTACATGATACAAATGTGCTGAATGAAATAAGGGCTTCTGGTTTGTTATTTTTTTCTTTCATTGAGATAGAAGAATTTGAGTATGTAGCTCAGGCTTGCCTCAGACTGCTAATCCTTTTGTATCAGCCTCTTGATTAGTGGGATCATAGGCATATGCTTTCAACCCTAATTAGGTTTTGATCTTGTCGATATAATTGACAGAAAAACGGAACCTCAGAGGAAAATGAGATGAGACATCTGGGCAGTCCTATTACTGCAGCTCCAAAACTGAGTAAAACACTAAAGCTGGAAGACCAAGAAGGGGTTTCAGAGGGGCCAGTGGCGTTTTCCCTGGGAGACCAAGACAAGAAGGTACAGGGTTCGGTTACTGTTCATTTTTCATTCTTTTGTTTTCATTTTACTTATTGTGTGCATGTGTCTATGTTTATGTGTATACATGCATGTGCATACCATCGGTGTGGTGTCAGAGGACAACTTGTAAAAGTTAGTTCTCTCCTATCATGAGGGTCCAGGCATCAAACTTAGGTCATCAGGCCTCCCAAGCTGAGTTGGCCCAGTGACTCTTGTTTTTTGGTTATTGGTACACTTTTTTTGTTCCTTAAAAGCAGGGTATCAGCCAGGTGGTGGCAAGTGCCTTTAATCCCCGCATTTGAGAAACAGAGGCAGGCAAATCCCTGTAAGTTTGAGGCCAGCCTGGTCTACAAGAGCTACTTCCAGGACAGCCTCCAAAGCCACAGAGAAACTCTGTCTCTCGAAAAACCAAAAAAAAAAAAAAAAAAAAAAAAGAACTCTTTAAAATCCTCCTGCCTCAGCCTTCCAAGTGCTAGGATTACAGGCATGAGCTTCAACATTTCGTTCCTAGTAAACAATATTGTTTACCTATTGTACTAGGACTGTGAGAAAAAACAAACAAAACTCCAGTGTTTTAGTTCTGGTTCTTCCTAATTTCAGAGACAGAAGCAGGAAGGTGGTAAATGAAAAGCCAACCTTGGTTTGGTAGTAAGACCTGGTCTCAAAAGGCTATGTTAGTAGTAGGGCTGGAGAGATGGCTCAGTAGTTAAGAGTTCTGGGACCAGGGTTTGAGTCTAAAATTGTTTTTCAATTAAAAAAAAAAAAGAAGAAAGTCTTTAAACTCAAAGAATTACCTGACAGGTAGTGTCATGTCATCTATTACTGGATGAGAAATTTTACTCAGTAAATTGAGTCACTATCAAAAGCAATGGCTAGAATAACCTAGCAGGATCTTGCAAGTGTCTTACAAGGCCCATCCCCCATCAGTAAGAGATAATCTGAAGCTGCTTGTGCTTTGTAGGCACTACCCAGAGGTAGTTTCTGAGGTGTTTAGCACTTCTGAATCAGCTTCGATTGTTTGCTACGAATGTGGACAAAGATGTGTTTGCGTAGATAACTGTGTAGTCCAGAAGACTGTCAGATATGCTGGAGCTCTAGGTACAGGAATCAAACTGAGGTCCTCTGCAAGAGCAGCAAGTGCTCTTCACCACTGAGCCATTGCTTCAGCCCTACTTTATTCCTGTCAGTAATAACTGATATAAGTAGGAACAACATTCAGTAAATATTATGATACTAATATGTGCCAAGTGGTGTACTACAGTAGGAGACAATCATAACTAAGATAGAGAGGATTCCTTGAGCTAAGAGGATAGTTCGGTTTGTGGCTGGAGAGATGGCTTGGCTATTAAGAGCACTGGCTGCTCTTCCAGAGGACACAGGTTTGGTTCCTAGCACCCACACTAGTGGTTCACAACTACCTGTAACTCTAGTTTTAAGGAATTTGATTTCCACATATGGCCTCTGTATGAGTAGCAGGCACACACATGCAGCATATTCTAACATCTGGACAAAACACACATAAAATAAAAATAATACGTCTTTTAAAAATAAAGATAGCTCAGGTGGTTAAGTACTTACTGTGTAAGCATGGGGACCTAAGCCCCAGCTCCAGCACCCACATAAAATGCCACATGTGGTAACCCCCACAATCCCAGTGCTAGGGAGGCAGCCAAGGGAGGCTGCCCAGCCTTATTAGTCAGCAGATGCCAGACTTCACTGAGAAGCCCTGTTACAAAAACAAGAAGGATAACTACTGAAGAATGACACTTGGGTTTGACCTCTGACCTTCACCCACAGGAGCGCTCACATTTACAAAGATTCATAGTAATTGTACAGAAGATCCTTGGTTCAGTCCCTGGCTTGGATGTGTGTGTGTACATATTTCCAGAGTGTCATATGATAATATTTTATTGTTCTTTTTCCTTAGTTTTTCGAGGCAGGGTTTCTATGTGTAGCCATGGCTGTCCTAGAACTCACTCTATAGACCAGGCTGGTCTCGAACTCACAGAGATACCCCTGCCTCTGCCTCTCAAGTGCTGGGATTAAAGCATACACAGTTTATTGTTCTTTTTTAAGGTAGAGTCTTATTCTATAGCCCTGATTGACTTCAAACTATTGTCCTATTGCCTTAGCATCTTAAATGCTGGGATCACAGGTGTGTGCCAACATGCCTGGCCATGTAGTGTCTTAACACTGTTTTCCTGTTTTCAGGATTGGTAATTGAACCCAGGGCCTAGCAAGAGTCCCAATTCTTCCACATCTTTAAAAAAAAAATATTTATTTAAAACTTTTTCTTAGATGTTTATGTTATGTATATGTATTTCATTGAGTGTGTGTACATTCATATGGTGGTCAAAGAAGTTTTTGTTTGTTTTGTTTTTTGAAATAGGTTTTCTCTGTGTATTCTTGGCTGTCCTGGCACTCACTCTGTAGATCAGGCTGGCCTTGAACTCATAGAGATCCAACAGCCTCCCTCCCAAGTGCTGGGATTGAAGGTGTGTGCCACCACTGCCTGGCCAGAGAACAGTTTCTGGAGTTGGTTACCACTTCCACAGTTATATGGGTTCTGGGAATTGAATTCAGGTTGCTAGGCTCCAGTAGGTTCCTTATTTGCCAAGATATGTTGCTAGGCCTAGTTTTTAAATCTTTAAAACATGCAAATTGGGGTAAGTGAGAGTTTTGTCATTTCAGGGCTTAAGTCTAAAGAAGATGGTCTCTCTCTGTGACATTAATGCCATTCAGATGGAGGATGAAGATCCTGACCAAGGGCACCTCATTGGTGATTTCTCCAAGGTGAGTTTGGTTATATCTGCCTTTTTACAACCTGTGTGTGTGGGCAGGTGTGCATATACTCGCCTGTGAACATACATTTGTGCCTCTGTGTATGTGCTCACGCACGTGCACGAGAGAAAGAGAGAGAGGGAGAGAGAGGAGAGAGAGAATGTGTGTACACTCAAATAGATCTGCCTGCCTCTGCCTCCCCAGTGCTGGGATCAAAGGCATGAGCCATCACCTCCAGGCTGAATCATTCTGAATTTTAATTTCTGCTTGCAGAGGATGCTAGATGTAACCATGTATCCTCTCTAAATGCTCTTTGTTGACCTGAAGGTAGACCTCAACCCTAAGTTCATTTAATAAGAAAGCATTTCATGTTTATCTAAGAAAATCCAGAACCCCATATGTGTATGAAACTTTATATCCTTTCTTGTTTATATACTTCCTTCTCTAACTCACAGGGATCCTCCTGCCTCTGCCTCCTGAGTGCTGGGAATAAAGGCATACGCCACCACCACCCGGTTTAGTTTGGTTTTTCAAGGTAGCATTTCATGTAGCCAGCAGTGGTGGCACATGTCTTTAATCCCGGCAATCAGGAAGCAGAGTTGGGTGGATCTCTGTGAATTCAAGGCTGACTTGGTATACAAAATGAGTTCCAGGACAGCCAGGGTTTTTGCACAGAGAAGTCCTGCTCAAAAAAACAAAACATAGCTATTTACACGTGCATCATCTCATAGCTCAGATGTATACCAATATGTCTGGACATTTAATCTTTTAGTTTTGGGTATATGGGGGATGCTATATGAGCTTTAGCGTGTGTATCCATGTGGAAGCCATAGGTCAGCCTTTAGTGGTGTTCCTCAGGAGCTTTCAGCATGTTTTTTTGAGTCACTGGGACCTGGTGCTTGCAGATGAGTCTAGACCGGCTGGCCAGAAAATCCCTGGGATCCTCCTGCCTCTGCCTTGCTAGCTTTGGGATTACAAATGCATACCATTTTGCCTAGCTTTGGGTGTGTGGATGCTAGGGATCAAAGCAGGTCCTTTTACGTGTATGATTTTGCCAACTGAGCTATTTTCCCAGCCCCCATTTTAATGTTAACAACAACAATTAAAAGAATTGTTTATTTTTGTTTTGTGTGTTTTACATGTTTTGTCTAAATGTATGTGTGGGCAAGTGATCCATAATGTGGGTGCTGAGAAATAAACCTTGGTCCCCTGCAAGAGCAGCCAATGCTATTAAACACTGAGCAATGTCTCCAGACCTGTATTTCACCATTTTCAGTAGCTGTTCATTAGTTAATTCTTTGGCTATTCATGATTCTCTATAAATCCTTTCTTGTGGATATTTAGTTTTATAATTTTCCTTATGAAAATGGGCACATTTGTAGAGAAGCATAAAATTTTGTGTACATCCTTGATACGTTCCTAGGGATCAGTTCTTAGAAACAGAATTGCTGTTTTGTTTTGTTTTCTAATATCACTTGGAAGCCAGATGTTGTGTTGTACACCTTTCATCCTAGAGGCAGAGGCAGGGGATCTCTGAGTTAAGGCCAGCCTGGTCTACAAAGTGAGTTCTATGACAGTCAGGGCTACACAGAGAAACCCTGACTCAAAACCAAAAACAAACAAAAAAGACTCACTTGGAAAGGACATCATAGGAGTCTTTGACCGAGGCTTGGGTTGGGAATTCCTGCGGTAATTCCTGTTCTTGGGTCTTTCTAGGTGTGTGTGCTGCCAACAGTGTCAGGGAAACACCAGGATCTGAAGTACGTCACCCCAGACACAGTAAGCAAATTTCTGTCTGGAGATGGTAACTGGGCACATCATATCATCAGCAGTCTGTCTGTCCACCTCTGTCCGTATTGCTTTCCCTCTATCCACTCACATGGGCTCTTATTCGACTGAAGCTGTATTAAGGCAGTGGTGGCCTTAATCCCAGCACTCAGGAGGCAAAGACAGGCAGATCTCTGAGTTCAAGGCCAGCCTGGTCTACAAAGTGAGTTTCAGGACAGCCAGGGCTACTACATAGAGACACCCTGTCTTGAAAAAACAAAAAACAAAAATGCAGTTAACTTGGTGAGATAATTGTTACCATCTGAGGTCAGCTACAGCTACTTACCCTGGAGAGAGAGAGAGAGAGAGGGAGAGAGGGAGAGGAGAGAATGAAACAAAAAAAACTAGGCAGTGGTGGCACACACCTTTAATCCCAGCACCTGGGAGGCAAAGGCAGGTGTATCTGTGAGTTCAAGGCCAGCCCGGTCTATAGAGAGCTCCAGGACAGTCAGGGCTATACAGAGAAACCCTGCCTTGAAAAAACAAAACAAAAGCAAGATAGTTATGTTCATGCCTTTAATCCCAGCACTTGGGAGGCAGAGGCAGGTGGATCTCTGTGAGTTTGAGGCCAGCCTGCTCTATAGAGTTAGTTCCAAGGCAGGCTCCAAAGCAATATAGAGAAACCCTGTCTTGAAAAGCAAGGGTGGAAAAAAAAAAAAAAAAGCAATAAATAAATAAAATAAAAACCCAAACAAAAGATAATCTATGTTATTTTAATAGCTATATAATCTTTTATACAAGAATGTGTAATTTATTTAACTACACCCCTCTTGTTGAACGTTTAAGTTGTTTCTAGTATTTCAGTATCCTAAAACAATGCTAAGATGAATATCAGTGTGTATACTTTTACTGAAGGAAGAAACTGGGGGTGGTGGGACATGCTTAAAATCCCAGCAGTTAGGAGGTAGGGCCAGGAGGTTCAAGAGTTTAGAGTCATCCTTGGGTATAATGAGTTTGAGCATAGCCTGGACAACATAAGACTCTCTTCAAACGAGGACTTTCTTCAAAACAAGGACTTTAAAATAAAAGGTATAATTTCGTGTATTTTTATATGTACTTGCAAAATTCTTTCTAGAAAGACTGAACTAATGTGTTCCTTTAGAAGTAGTTTTACATTTTCTTCTTTAGCTAAATCTCACCTGTATGCCTTCTGAAAGACTCGGTGAACAGGAAACCGTTTCCCACAGCTTATAAAGCTGGCTTCTCTAGCTGCTGCCTTTGCTATTGATGTTCTCCTTGGATGTCTCCTGAGAGGCTGATTGTGGCCATGCTTACCTCTAGATAGTTAATCTCCATGTCAGTCATTTGGGTCCTCTACCCAGGCATTTCCACTCATATGTGGGATTGGGCTCAACCATTGCCATGTTGCAAATACAGGCTAAATCTGGAGGTTATGTATACAGTGCAGTCTGGGGTGGCTAATGGGAATATGCAAAAAGGCACTGTGTGGCTCCTGTCTCTCAGAGTGACAGTGAACAGCATATTCAAACATTTCTTTCTGTGCAGGTGGCTGCTTTACTGTCTGGAAAGTTCCAGGGTCTGATTGAGAAGTTTTATATCATTGATTGCCGCTATCCGTATGAGTATCTGGGAGGACACATCCTGGTGAGGTTACACTATGAACATAAGCAAGAGAGAGGCTGGAGATTTGAGTTTATATATAGGCAAAAGGGTCTATGAAATCTAGCACTAGGACAGAGATTATACATTTGGATCACATCAGAGGAAGCTCTTATTTCTGTTTTAAGTCTGTACCTTCAACAATCCCTTCTTTTTTATGGGAGCCTTTAAGAAAAAAAAAAAAACAACCCAAGAACCAGGAAGCACTTTGCAAACATCTAATGTTCACAAATAATTCTCATAGTTTAACCCATACTCTGGTGGCTCAGCTCTGTGAATATGTCTGGCACAGCCACATATCAAACTCTGTGCCAAGCCATAGGGTAGATAACAGAGATAGGCTTAGACTCCTGCCCTGGGATTCTTTCTTGCCCAGTTTTCTGGCCTAATTATCCCAGAATAGCATCCCAGGCATTCCTGAGTATTGACTGTACATAAGCCCTTGAGAGGATACTTGTTGACATCCTTTTCCACAGGGGGCCTTAAACCTGTACAGCCAAAAGGAACTGCATGAGTTCTTTCTGAAGAAGCCAATTGTCCCTCTGGACATCCAGAAAAGAATCATCATTGTGTTCCTCTGTGAATTCTCCTCAGAGAGAGGCCCCCGAATGTGAGTGTCTCAGGTGGGTTGGTGATGGAAACGGATCTTGAATGAGACTTGGCAGACCAGTGAAGACAGAGCTAACCTGAATGAGTGTCTTCCATTGCAGTTTGATGGCGGAGAGCCTTAGGGACATGGGTCTTAGCTAGTGCACATAGGCCAGCCTGAGCTACATGGTGAGACCCTGTCTTAAAAACAAAACACAAATAAAACAAAACAAAACAAAAAAAATGTAAACACACACACACTAAGAGATTTGGGAATGAAGTTTCAATGGAGAAAGGGAAAAGAGAATGTTATTTGGACCTTGGTTAGCAAACACAGTGAGAGGTTGTGTGTGTTGGGGGTGGTGGCTGGGGGGTTAACCCTGTCTTCTGAATGCTAGACAATACCTTACCCCTGAGCTATATTCTCAGCCCTAAAGAACCTTTAGGGAAGTTAGTTGTGGCCTGCCCCCACCACCACCACAAGGCGCATGGGTTCCTGTCACCCCACCCCTCACTGGATTTTTTTTTTTCTAAAGGTGCCGTTCTCTGAGGGAAAAAGACAGATCTCTGAACCAGTATCCGGCATTATACTATCCAGAGCTGTATATCCTCAAGGGAGGCTACAGAGACTTCTTCCCAGAATATACGGTAAAGGGACATGGGAGAGCTCAGGCACGGGGTGGAGTCGGGCTCAGACTCAGAGGAGCCAGCTTTAGCATGCAGCCTCCAGGGACTGTAAACATCCTAAGAAGAAACTGCTGTTCCTCAGCCACTGGGAGCAGCATCTTTTCTCATTAGTAGGCAGAGCTCAGGAGTCTAAGGAGGTCTTGATCTTGTCCCCTACCTGTCAGGAACTGTGTGAACCACAGAGCTACTGTCCTATGCACCACCAGGACCACCAGGCTGAGCTGCTGAGATGTCGAAGCCAGAGCAAAGCCCAGGAAGGGGAGCGGCAGCTTTTGGAGCAGATTGCCCTCCTGGTGAAGAAGGATGTGAACCCACGATAGTGGGTATGACAGTGGCAGTGGTCACAAAGTCACTGGAGACCCTGAAGAGCAGAGTCATCTATGTCACTAACGATAGGATTGTTAAAAAGTATCTGCAGACATTGGAGATAGTCAGGCATGGTGCAAACACCTTTAGTCCCAGCACTCAGGAGGTAGAGGCAGGAGGACCTCTGTGAGTTTGAAGCAAGCCTGGGCTACACATGACCCTGTCTCAAAAGCAAACAAACAAATAAAAAGCAAACAAAACCCATCAAACAAAAGCCTTCAGATGTCTATAAGCCACAGGCTGTCATACTGATGAAATCCTAACCCTGAGGACTGGCTCGGTGTCAGTGAGCTGCTGGCTGGGTGCTGAGTGATTAGCAGAGGTATTTGCATTGCTCCTGGGTCTCCCACATCTTACCTAAGCCAAACAGCCAGTTCTCCGACCAGACATGGGATTTTAAGATCGGTGCTTGCCCTCTTTCTTGGTATTTTCTTCCATTGATCCTTACTTGTTACTCTAATGGGAAAGTAAACATAGGAGAAGGATGATTGTGAATCCAGTCTCTTCCATGAATGGTAGAACTGCTTGCCCAGCAGTCCCAAGAACCTTGAGTTTGCGCTCCAGCACTACAAACAACTTAAAATTACTGTCTTGGGAGTTGGCTCAATGGGTAAAACATTTGCTGCATGAACATGAGGACCTGAGTTCCAAACTCAAGAAGCCACATAAAACTGAGCACTAACTGCATCTATAGTCCTAGTGCCCTTACCATGAAATGGGGGTGGGGACAAAAGCCCTGGAAACTCTCAAGCCAGCCAAGCTAGTGTACACATGGGTGAACAACTCAGAAGACCTGACTTACACACACATACATGCACACAAGCACATAAGGCTTTGAGACCTAATGGTATAACCTGATAATGCCAAAGTTCTTTCCTTTGGTGCTCGAGCCTGGGCCCTCAGCATCACATGAATTTGTTTGCAATTAAAAAAAAAATTCATGGTGCTTGCTTCAGCATGGAACAAAAGCATGGCCCCTGTGCAAGGATAATGCATAGATTAGTAAAGTATTGTGTGTGTGTGTGTGCGTGCATTTTACTCATGGGTCACTTCAGATTTTTAAAAAATAATTATTATATATACAGTGTTCTGCCTGTATGTTTGCCTGCATGCCAGAATAGGGCACCAAATCTCATTATAGATGGTATGTATGGATGGTATGCTGTTGCTGGGAATTGAACTCAGGACCTCTGGAAGAGCAGCCAGTGCTCTTAACTCTGAGCCATTTCTCAACCCCTTTCACTTCTGATTTTAAGTCTGAACTTCTGAGGTCATAACTCACAAAACTGAATTTTAAAACTTTCTGTTGCCAGGTGGTAGTGACAAACATTTAATCCCAGCACTTGAGAGGCAGATCTCTGTGAGTTTGAGGCCAGCCTGATCTACAGAGCTAGTTCCAGGACAGCCAAGGCTACAAACAAAACTTGTCTCAGAAAAACAAAAAACAATTTCTGCCAAGTATGGATCAAATGCCTATAATGTATGTGCTTGATGAAGTGGACTCAGGAGGACCTGAAGCTCAGGTCACACTCAGCTCCAGGCCAGTTCAAGGCCAGTCTCAGCTACATGAGACCCTATCTCACAAAATCATCAAAACAAAACAGATTTTTGTTTTCAGGTAATTTGATAACATCTTGAGGCATAGCAACCATTGCTCTGGAACTAAGGGAAAGTTTCAGTTGTATTCTTGATGAGGACTTAGAGGTAAATGTTTGTATCCCTAAGAAGTCAAGGCAGGAAAAAAAAAAAAAAAAAGTCAAGGCAGGAAGATGATGAATTCCAATGCAAGATGTATAGTCTGTGGTGAAGTTTCTCATTGTCTTCTCTTTGAAAAAACAAACAAACAAACAAACTTATGTATATGAGTCTTTTGCCTGAGTGTGTGCGAGTGTGTGTGTGTGTGTGTGTGAGTGGGTGTGTGTGAGTGTGTGGGTGTTGCCAGTTGTGTGCCTGGTACCGGAGGCCATCACAGGACACTAGATCACCTGGAACTGGAGTTAAAGATGAGAGTGAACCACCATGTGGGTGCTGGAACAGCAAGTGCTCTTAACCACTAAACCATCTCGCCAGCCCCTGTTTCTCATTTTTTAGTTTTGAAATGATTTCACTCTAGCTCAGGCCAGCCTTGAGCGAGCACTTGTCTAGGATGCATAAATTCCTGGGTTCAGTTTCCAGCACCCCATGAGTGGGCATGCTGGACACATGCCGTAATCCCAGCTACTGGAGATAGAAGGGGAATTAGAAAGTCAGTGTCATTCTTGGGTGCATATCAGCACAAGCTACAAGGACCATGGCTTTAAAATGCCAAGAAGAGGGCTGGAGAAATGGCTCAGCGGTTAAGAGCACTGGCTGTTCTTCCAGAGGACCCAGATTCAGTTCCCAGCACCCACATGGCAGCTCACACCTGTCAGTAACTGCAAGATCTGAATCCCTCACACAGGCATCCATGCAGGCCAAATACCAATGCAAATAAAATAAAAATGCATTATTAAAAAGGGTGGGGAGCAGCTTGGCAGTTAAGAGTCTTTGCTGCTTTTGCAGAGGACCCATGTTCAGGTCCCAACACTGTCACCAAGGAGCTCACAGCCACCTGTAACCCCAGCTCCAGTGGACCCAGTGACTTCTTATGACCTCCATGGGTACCCACACATGGTAGACACTTAAAATTTATTTTCCTTTAAGTTGTCTTAAAAAAAAAAAAGTGGGAAGATGGCTTAGTGGTTAAGAATACTTGTGCTGGGCAGTGGTGGCACACACATTTGATCCCAGCACTTGAGAGGCAGAAGCAGGCAGATCTCTGTTGAGTTCAAGGCCAGCCTGGTCTATAGAATGAGTTCCAGGACAGCCAAGACTACACAGAGAAACCCTGTCTCCAAAAAACGAAAGCAAAAGACATGTTGCTTTTGCAGAGGACACCCACATGGTGGCTCACAAACCATCTCTAATTCCAGTTCCAGGGTATCTGACAACCTCTTCTGGGGGCATCTGGCACACATGTGATGCACATACATACATGGAGGCAAAACACTCAAAACTCTGAAGAAACATTATACACCCATGTACATACACATGTTCATGCCATGTTGCTCATGCAGAGACCAGAAAATACATTGCAGGACTTGATTCCTGCCAACTACCTAAGTTGGCACAGAATCTGGGACATGAGGCTTGGAGGCAATGCCTTTACACACAGCCATCTCACCTGCTGTGCTGGCTAATGTTTACTGTTATTTGACAGAAGCTACAGCCATGTGAAGAGAAGGAATCTAAGTAAGAACTGCCTTCCTAGGGTTGGCCTATAGCTAAGTCTGCGGGGCATTTTGTTCACTGAGGGATGACCTGGGAGGTCCCAGCTTACTCTAGGTAGTGCCACCCCTGGGTTGCTGAGCCTGGGTTAAAGAAAAAAGCAGTGGGGGCTGGGGAGATGGTTCAGTGGTAACTAGCACTGGGTGGACCTCGGAGGACCAGAATTCAGTTCCCAGCACCCACTTGACAGCCCATAACTATAACTCCAGTTCCAGGGTATCCAACACTGCCATATGGACAAAAATGCAGGCAAAACATCAATGCATGTGAAATAAAAACAAATGCATTTTTTTGGAATAGAAGAAAGCAGTATGAGCAAGGCAGTGAGCAGTGTTCCTCCAAGCCCTCTGTATCAGCTCCTGCCTCCAGATTCCTGCCCCGAGCTCTGCCCTGGCTTCCCTCAGTGGTGGATTGTGACCTGAGAGTTATAAGATGAAATAAATCCTTTCCTTCCCCCAGTTGCTTTTGGTCATGGTGTTTATTGAAGCAATAAATAAAGCCCCTAAGATTCCCTACATCCAGAGTTCCAGGATAGCCTCGGCTGCACAGAGAAATCCTGTCTCCGAAAAACAAACAACACAAAGAAAAAACCACACTGCAGCAGTGGCCTGACTGGGTCGTGGCTTTGGCTTCATAGGACTTGCCTACAAGTGTCCTAGGCAGCTCTGAGTTGGTTTAATTTTCTTGTCTGTAGCTGGGGGTTTTTGTTTTTCTATTTTCCAAACTCCTCAATTCCATTTTACATCTCAAGGATAAAGTGTAGGATCTAGGTTGGTTGAAAATAGAGATTTGTGATACTTAAAGGATCAAAGACAAGATACAAGTACAGAAGCTAGGCATGGTGGCACACACCCTTACTCCACTGCTCGAGACAGAGGCAGGAGGATGGATCTCTGAGTTAGAGTTCTAGAACAGCCAGAGCTACAAGGAGAAACCCTGTTTTAACAAAACAAAAAGAACAAGAGGGAAGAAAGAAAATAGAAATGCCAGGAAAGACCAGTTATACTTCAGAAGATCTTCCAAACTGCTCTGCAGTGTTCCGGATGTTCCCAGAGCTCTTTGAGGTGGGCGGGCTTTCATTGTGTGTCGAGACGCACAGCTCTGGTACTAGTGGCCGAGAGCCCAATATTAGGAAAGGAGGAAGCATAGACTAGAGACGACAAACAAACAAATGAAACCGTTCTTGGTGTAAGTGTGTGATAAAGAGGAGCGAAGCCCTGGCGTAGCGGTGTCTGTGATTGCTTCTTGTTGAATGAGCGCTTCCCAGCAGAGGGCGCTACAGCATTCTGAAAGACAGCCTGAGCTGGATCCCAGCAGGCTGTGGGAATGAAGGCTGCCTCCCTCCCACGCCAGGCAGCCCTTGAACTCAGCCTCTGAAAGCAGAGTGTGAGGGCAGAGGGGAAGGCGCCGCTCCCCAGTTCTACCCATACAAGTGCCAGGACCAAGCTGAAGTTCCCAGTAGACTGAGGAAGAAAGTACTCAAAACACCTGACTGTAAGTGGGGAATTCTGGGCTTCTTACTGTCCCTAGTGGGTAAATCTCCCCAGAGATGTATAGATCCAAGCCCCAAAAAGATGCTGGTGTCTGTGTGTTCACATTGTTTTTTTTTTTTTTTTTTTTTTAAACCAGAGGTTTTCTGTGTAGCCCTGGCAGTCCTGAAACCCACTCTGTAGGCCAGGCACATTCAAGGTTTCCTAAACTCACTGCATACATAGAAACTAATTTTCACAATAATTGGGAGAAACTGAACAGAGAGGATAAAAAAACTGCCCCACACAGTGGCTCACACCTTTAATCCCAGCACTCAAGACTGAGGCAGTGGGATTGCATGGAGTTTGAGGCCAGTCTGGGTTACACAGTGAGTTCTAGGCTAGTCTGAGCTAGTGTGAGATCGTGTCTCAAACAAACAAAACGGAAAGGCAGGTATGGCAGCACACTTGTAATTCAAGTAGTTGGGAGATATGGCAAGGAGGTAAGGAGTTGAAGTCATTCTTGGCCTCATGGTGGGTTTAA